GTCGCCGGTATTGTCAAGCTGTATGTATCAAATTGTGTCAGTTTTCATCACTTGCTATCCAAAATCAACATGTTCTGGCACACGTACCTGAGCTATAATGAGAGCGAGCACATTCAGCGGTAGAACCAACAGTGACGCACCATGCGGCCGCTCCGTCGTGATGCTGGCATCAAACATATTCCGATTGACGGCCGCCATGATGCGACGCCCGACGATGGAGTCGCAGCATTGACTGACACAAGGTACGGTCCTGGGCAAGAGAGCGATGCATCGAGGTCTGACCGAAGATTGCTGCAGGTGGATGATGACAGTTCGGTCGAGGCGGTGCGGGAAGCAACTTTTTCGATCTGCACGGATATACGAGTTCCCGAGACATGCCTTGTGAAGCTTAATTAGGCTACAATGTTAAGGTCCTATTTAATTACCACGACTGGGAACGTCAAGCACATCGGAACATTTAAAAGATTATGGACTTTGTTATGATTATATGACAGAAATATTTCAAGGGTATCTTTTACACAGCAAGATCTCCTTCTGTAAACCCGCCAGTTGTTCTACCTTTCCCAGATATTCAAGTAATATGCAATTCATAGGCGATAAGACGCTGTGCACATCTTCCAGCTCGCAAGTAAGAAGTGACAACATATCATCGAAAGAGAAAAGAAAACTGATTACCACGTGGTGAATGATCCCCGACTCCTCGCTAAATTAACAGTCGAAAGGGTAATAGAATGCAAACAGACCCAGGCCAATAAGAACGATAACAAGTAAAGATCGTGCGTGACGTCAACAGCTATCTCTCGGATCATGTGCGGTCTTGACTGGGATCATCCCGAGGACTATCGTGAGTCGGGGACCGTTGCTGATCCTGCAGTGACGGCGCCGACGATGGAGGCTGCTCAGTTGGAGCGCTATTTTGACTCTCATGCAGAGCATCAGGAGCGTCGTGTTCCGCAGCTTCACCGGCTGCCTCATCAACAGGCTGAGCGTCTACATTGTGGGCCATGTTCGTTGCTGCAGCTTGTTGCTGTGCATGATGATCACCAGGCACGATAAGGGCCGCTGTTTCCGGATCGTAGCGCAGTTCATAGTTGCTGTTGCCGAGAATTGAGTCCCCCTCAGGCAGACTCCACGGAGCGGCGGTTCGAGTCTGCGGTTGGATCACCCTCACTGGCAGATTGGAGCGGTCGGAACGAACAACACGATTGGGCGTCGGTTCCAGTATGTTTGCATCATTCAGCCATTGCGGGGACCATGTATTCTGGCCCCGGCGTCTAGCAGGAATGACGGTCACGGGTAGGGAAGCATCTGCGTCTCGCCTATCGGAGCCGGGCCTGATCCTAAAGTTGAAAGGGAACAACTGTCCGTGTTTGCTGCTTGCAGCACGCTGCTTGTCACTTTCCTCGCCATACAAATCTTCCTGCGCAGTTGAAGGATCCTCGTCTGCCTGTGCTGAGGCAACTTCTCTGGGCAGGGACGCACGTCTCTTCTTGAAGGGATTCAGAATCGTTCGCCAACGGTGGTCCATATTGACGATCTGAGGTGACTCTTCACGGGTCTGCTGCGCTGAAAGACGCGGCTGAGCGACCTCAGCTTCTCCCTCCTCGGATCTCATGGCCATTTCCTTCAGCTGGTCTGTCTCGTATTCATCTTCCTCCTCCATATGAGGCATCACGACAGGAGGCGTCGGACTAGACACCGGGTGATAATGGACATTATACACGGTGCTTGCTGCACTTGTGGTATCCGCCCGACTAACTGGAGTAGCAGCCGCCGGGGGTGGTGTCGGGCGGCCAGCTCCATGACGTCGCACATCGGAACCAACTGTTTTGCGTTGTTTGTCCGGCTTGCGGTTACCACGGGGTAGACCAACCCTTGTGCGCAGAGGTCGATGTGCCAACCCCATGACACCTCCCCATCCCGAGGACGTACCGGTTCCCCCGCCTCTACCGTAGGTCTGGCGAGGCCAGTCGACCTCTTCCGATGGTGTGACTTCCAGCATTTCGTCTCCGTCGAATAACTCCCTCCCGAGAATGCCATCCTTCCTTTCGTCCCGTTCCAGTGCTTCAATTCGTTCCACCCACTCCCAAACCACAACACTCGCGGCCGCTGACCCGACCCATCGTATGTAGGTACCCCAACCGGCAATCTCTTCTTTGGCGATATCCAGAACGAAGAAAATGACAGGTATGAGAACAGCACACAAAGATAAAAGTGCGACCAAGCAGATATTCCTCATTTTGGGGTGAAAGAAGGCATATCGGTGTTTGGATAGTGAATAGAAGATTACCCAGGCGGCGTATAGAAGGTTGAGCGCGAGCTCAAACAGATAGCTGAGCGCAGGGATCGCATCGTCGTAGAGTCGGGGCCGCGTAGTATTGGTCTTGACCAAAAACTTGTCCAGAATGCTAAATATCGTGTCCAAGACTATTAACGCGAATCCGGCCCATTTGATCATGACCTTCTCCTTATGTCGCGGGAATAACCGTATCAGCGTCTGCACCTGGGCCAGCCATAGAAACGTGCTTGATATAACTCTGACCACGCGGATCTCCGTGCCATCGATGACCTCCTCGGTGAGCCTTTCGGCATCGGAATAACCGTAGTTATACTGCCGCTCAGCGACCCGGAACGAGTCCGCAGACGCGATAGTCAAGGATACAGCCACCAATATTGCAGCTACTTTCTGTAGCCACGGTCTTCCACCAACGCCGACCACCGAGGAATTGCCGCTATAGGCTCCGCTGATCATGCCATGGCGCCCCAAGAAGTTGGCGCCGCCTCCGGGACCTCCAACATAGAACGTTCGTGGTGTGATGAGTAGTATTATGACGAGAAGATAGCTCACGACGGTTGCGCAGCCGATAGCGTATAACTGCGGCGTGACGGAAGAGTAGAAGGGGTCGCGGGTGTCAAGGAGGGGAGATGGCTGCCGAGTATCGGTTGGTTGACTTGTACATACGGGCTCGAAGACGGCATTTTCTGTGAGGGTGATTGCAAAGGATCGGTTAAGATAGACGTAGCCTAGAAGCATGCGCAACGGACGCGACAGTCAGCTAAAAGTTGGGGGAGATCTACGGCGCCTACAGTGACGCAGCGACATCCTAGAACAAGTAACTGCACAAGACGATCGATTAATGATGATCACGTACCATCGCTAGGAAGCAGAAAGGGAGTGCAGCCTGGCGAATAAGACTTGGTGGAGGTGGTCGTTGGATTAGCCCATATTTGGCGGGGAGTTAGACGAGCATCATCCCCCATGGTCAGGCAGACTCTTGAAGACGTCTTACGTCGTCGTTGGTTGCGAGGGATTCATAAAAGCCGGGATATCATGCGATAAGGCTGCTCTCGATGACCATTAATGCAAATAGATGGAAATTGCCTCAAACCCCCATAATGGCACTGTTCTGATGAATGTGATCATCCGCGAGTGGTCAGGTCTCTATAGGACGGTAGCAACAGACAAGTCTCGAGGCGCAAGGAGTATCGAAATCGACACGTGCTAGGAGAATCGGTATTCAAAAGATGATCAAGCAGGGTAGGCAAGACAAAATGTCAAACAAGGATGGAGGAAAAGGCTTGTTCGAGAATTGGGTTGCGGAGGAGGAGGCATAGGTCGTATTCGCCAGACTACCTTAAGGAGAGACGAGGCCAAGACTTGGTGAGCCATCCGCCACTGCGGTCCAGATCTCTTATAGCCATTGAACAACTGCACAGTAAGCCAACATTTACAGCCGATGAGCAGATTTCCTCTGAGCAAATAAGGTTTTGTGGTATGGTAGATATTCTACGGAGCAACTTGGCCTCCAGATTCTCTGCACATCTAAGAGTTGCTGGACTGCCGCTGTCTTAGGTACAAGCCGACTCCATACACCCCATCACTACCTTTAAGGGCATTTGCATCGCAAGCTCAGTAGCTCCTATATTCTATTGCTTGTCGCCTGTCACTGAATCTAGAACTCCTCGTTCTAAGCTTTGTTGAGGGAAAGTGTTTCACAGCAGCCATGTGCATGCATGTGAGTATTACTATCCGTGGTGGGTAGAGCACTCATTCAGCTCCCTGATGTCAAACATGCCGACAAGAATGGGGTGCGTTCGTATTCCATGAAATCGATCCAGCTGCCTGCTGTATCTTTAACCCTGAAGCGTCATGAAAATTAGTGTTTGAGACGGCTCATGCCTGACTGACGACTGACTGGTCCCAGCTGCCCGACATAACTCCTGATGTATCCGGATCTGTGACTCTGTGTCTATCGCCTAGGACAGGTGATATAGAATATTCTCAATGCTGAGTTATATCTGTCCTACAGGTAATCGGACGCAAGTACGGAGTAATACGGCAAAAGATATGTGCAACCTTGAACCTTAAATTCCACCATTCAGCTACACACCGACTCCTTGGATCAGCTGAGTGACTGGAGTGTTTTTGACTCTCGAGCTGATAGAACAGCTTCATTCATTAGCCTTTTTTTGTCATGAATTGGTAAGCGTGATGGGTTTGGAAACGTTGGGCCACTCGCCAAAGTACATAGGCGTAGCTTGGTATTCGGGATTCAGAAGGATTTTCGTACAATCCTACAGGATTCATGGTGGAACGCTGATCTTCTAAGGGAACAGAGCATACGTGGGATTTGGAAATATGGATCTCATCATATTTCTTGACGTCGATACGTATATACATTGCCTGATAATTTGGCAAGACTTCAGATGTCGCTAAAGACACGATCCAACGCTGGAGCTAGGGATACCCCTCGCTCAATGCTGAAGGGTGAAGACCATAACATAAGATGGAGACGGATTGAGAACAAATCAAACATAAGCCGTCCAGTAGAACGCCCTGGGAAAAGAAGGTGGCAAGAATATGAACGAGTTTCGTTGTCCTGACAGAGGGGAGTGTCTCTCATCCAAGCGCAGACAAGACCTCAAAAAGAATCCGCTTGACGTGATGCACTGTCGATTTCTGGTAAGCACCTGTCGATCTACGGCGACCTGGGCCGACATCATCTCGGCGGCTGGCCATAGGACATCTGCAAGGGTGCTGCATATGGTGATAGCAGTGCCTGCCCCGTGGCCCAAGCAGCTCTTTCTCGCTCTTCTTCCCGAGTCTTGAATTCCTTCTCGTCTTGTATGAGCGTGCAGCATGTGCAGCATGTCGCTCGCACACAATCAGACCCAACGTTGCCACTGATACCGTACGCTTTGCGTGTCCGTGTGTGCTGCACAGTAGCCAGCAGCCCTATTTCAAAGTCAGTAACGAACTTTTGCTGTCAGCATGATTAAGAAACTCACATTGACATCCGCATAGCAAGGCCATTGCCGTACACGAGCCGTTGCATGTCTCGTGGCCTAGCATGTTGGTTGGGTTCTCTTTTTTCGCTTTCATCGAAAGGCGATACTGCGTCCTCCCGTAGAGTATACAAGGACACAAAAGTCCAAGACAGCATGTTCCGATGCTGGAACATTCACATAAACCATGACTCCATGTTCCACCCTTGACGACCTGGTTGGGGTGTGCAATCTGCCCCGGTTGATGATAGGACATTGGCGTAGTTGGATGTGGCGCGCTGGTCATGATCGGTGGAGGAAAGCGTGGCAGGCGGGGAGAATGCAATGGGTTCTCGTCAGGCGCAACAGATATCTTTCGAGACTCTGCGACTTTATCTGACGCCTCAGGGTCCGCCTTGACTGGAAGTGGATCGTGGCCAGCGCTGTACGAGTATGCTGGTGCAAACGTATCGAACTGCGCTTGTTGTGGCGCATCCTCTGCATAGGGAGCATAATGCGCAGGATGCTGCTCAATGGGCGGACCACCGGGGTAGACAGACGCAGCAGACTCATGCTGAAGTTGAGCTTTCTCATTGAACGTTGGTTGAATGTCTTCTGTCGCGGTGACCTGCTGCTGTACCGGACAAGCATTGGCTTTTGTCTCTGATCCTGACAGCGGTACTTGTCGCTCTATCCTTTGTCGGGAAGGATTCAATTCTAGCGGCGTTTCAATGAAAGAGTATCTTTGAGTTCCCGCACCAAACGAGGTGTCCAATCGTAATTGCGGGTCCATTATGGTACTATACTTGCTTCGAGCGACGAACGCCTCTAATCTCCTGTCCGGACTGGAAATGCTTAGTTCAGCATAAGCAACCGCTTGACAACAACCGAAGCGCTCTCGGAAGGATAAGGTTGCTGTGCGTGCGCTTCGTTCAGCCTGCTGCCGTCAGCTTCATCGCATGCATCAAAATCGCGCAGGCTCTCCTCGCTCCTTGATAGAGGAGGCCAGAAACAACAGGAAATAGGAATTCGGGCTTCTGAAACGAGACGCAAATGCAATGATATGATCAGCCAACATCAAATCGGGGTGCTAGAGCCATTAAGTGTGTGCATCATGGAGTAACAGACATGACTGAGTGGAGACCCAAAGCGCTCAGATGTACTTGGATCATGCCGCGGGGATGGATGCTTGGTCTCTAAGTGGTCAGAACTCAATGTATCTCGTGCTTTTGGATTATGAGAGCTTGTTGCACCAACTGCTTAGCCTGCAGCAGGCGCCATCACTTCTCACCAGTCACATCGGTCGTTGGCCAGGCGCCCGTTCGGAACATCCCGTTGGCGGGCTACTCATCACATCGCTGCCCTGTCGCTATCACATTGGATAGTGCCAAAAACGCCGTCCTACCAATGATGATGGAAGATTAGGAGCAATCTGGACGTAAGTTCACTACGCCGCAATATTGTGACAGTCTGAGGGGAAACTGTCTCGTATGCGAGATCGCGGTTTTATCGACTTCTTACGCAGAGAGCGAATGTGTGATTCTCCTGCCTGGTTGCAGACAGGACGAGAACAAAACAGCCAATGAGAGGAAGCGAATCAGAGTTAGACTTGACGTTGTTATTTATTATTCTTGATAGGAAAGGAGCTGGGGCGAATTGGCTGTGTTGCGTGTCAATGCTTGAGACACGGGGGAAATGAGAAAACATATATTGGCAACTGGCTCGCTCCTTCAACCTCCGTTGCAACCCGCACATGTTGACACTACGTTTTAGCTGATTGAATACCATTGCAAGCTTGGGCTTCATATTCTCAAATTTCCACACTTCTTGTTTGATCCCACTGGGTACCAATCGATTATCACCAAAACTATGACTTAACTGCGGTGTTTTTTCATGGAAGTTTGTTTATTCGAAGACAGTGGTATTTTCAATCTAGAATACCTACCTTAGGTCAATTTAAAGGGTCACTTCTATATTTCCTGGCGGCTATTATATTAGTACTATACCCTCACCTTGAACGCCATGACGGGGTCGCAAGAGGATTCTTCATACAGCATCTTATAAGCAGGGGGGGTAATCCAAAGATCCTTGGGAACTCTGATCCGGAAATTTCTCTTGCATACAAACTGCACCAAAACGGGAGGGGCACCAGCGAGCTTATCGCTCACAGTAAGCTGGTCGCTTAGGTCCGCTCCAGGGCCAGGTATGTGCAACAAGGCGAAGAGAGAACCAAAAGAGACGCCATAGGTCGAATATATTGCGCCTGCCTGAGCTCTACATCTCCTGTTTCTGAGCCAGGTAATGCAATTTCAGCCAGAAGCACTACGGCCACAAGTAGTACCGCAGTGATCAATCGAACGTAGTATGCTGCATCAAAGTCTTTCCCTTCGGAACGAGATCTCAAGAGACTGGATGCATCATTGCACGCAGAGTTCCAGATAAGGAATACAGATATCGAGAATGATCGGCTGTAGATTGATCGGGGGCATATGTGAGTAATGTGACAGGTCACAGGCGATGATCGCTCACGAGGATAAATGAATCCTGCATGGTTCTGTTGTTGGGAAATTCAGAGGGTATGGGAAGACTTCTACCAGTCTTTAATAATGGAGGGGGTGTTGGGCATGAGGAGCAGCCCAATAATGTACTCCGCCAGATGAGGACTCGGGAGCAAATATTCCCAGGCGATGACTTAGCGACATCAAAAATAATACCACGATGCACATAATGAATTTGAGAGCAAGGATACTTTGTGTCAGAATAGCCAGCATCAGGAGCTCAGCGAAAGAGAACAGAAATGCAGATGTCTGAAAAGGGACATACTACTAACGATCTGACGCAAGGGAAGAAACAAGGATACCTCGATAAAACTTTGTTTTCGTGACCGGTGTGAGGCTGTGATAATTTATATCTGAAAATGCGAGACATCATCCTCTCATCGATTGTTCCATCTCGACATTCCAGTCGGATCGACAGGATATGAGGAGTGGAGTTTCCGGGGAGGAGGGGGAAATCCTCGTGGCCAGCAGGTTGATCACGTTGTCTATCTAATGGTTGGTGTTTCTGAGGCTGAACGTCACCAGCATTCGCAGTTCGGAGGAAACTCGACAGAGAGGCATTAATTATTGATGCACAAAACGGTATAGAAGCGAAACGTTTTGCTCGATTGGAAAAGAAATTGGCCAGGGATTCAAAAAGGTCGTCTCATTTCTGGATTTCAAATCTTTAGATAAGAGAGTCTATCAAACGCCAGCTTAGTGGTCGATTATCACCGACATTTGAAGGTGAAGAATGTCGGTCTCATCCTCCTGCGGCAGCGTATCTAGCTGGTAAGATAGTATGGAGTACGTAAGATAAACAGTGCCTTAGTCTCGTGGGTCATCAGTCAAGAGCTATCAGTACCTCGATAGGGGATATGGGAGACAATTACCTAGCGACATACCTGAATTAAGGGCTGATGTCTACCAGAGATTGGCTTTGGAAATGAAGAATGAAATTACACGCAGCTTTCACCTGATGATATTCCCATCTCTTTCAAATTGTTTATGCCCCCAGTAAAACGGCGTGGAGATCCAAGGATCTAGAAAGACGCTGGGGATGATGATTACCCGAAGAGGAATAGAACGGACAAGCCACAGCTGCTTTTTCCTGGGGAAATCCAATCTCAGTGATGATTCTGAACTACGACTGGAAAGACTCGGCCATTATTGGCATGTTGGACCTGCGTTAAGAGCACCTAAACCCGTCCTTAACTCTATCCTACAAAGTGTGGTTCTTAGCGTCCTGTCTCTCTTAGTTCTTGCTGAACCAAGCACTCCGTAGTCAGATAGTAGAGACCCATTACTGATTCACTGTATACTTGGCTCTGAAGGTGTGACCTGTCTAGAACTCTTTACTCCGTACAGCGTCCAAATAACCAGAGAAAAAGAATAATACAGAAGAGATGGGAAGCAAAGAGAAGTCTGGCCCACCCTATTCACTTTGACTTTTTTTGTTATTTCTTTTTTTTAATATATATCATCCATCCGTTCAATTATCTAAACCCAATTGGAAGTTTCGTTTCGTTGTTTGTCCCGTCATTCTAAGGTACCTTAACTTCTGTACTGTAATGCTCCTCTGATTAAATCATCCATCCTCCACCTCGCCCTTACTGCCATCTACATACCAATAAAACAGGCATTGATCACTTCATTCCAGAGTTTGTCCAGTCGAACAACTGCCTAGACTCCAAATCAATAATACCGCATTGATAACGACCTGAATTTACGGCCTTCTAATTCCTCAGGTTGTCCCGTCCGACGACTCCGTCGCATTTGCTGGCCTGTAAGATTATTTCTCCCCGGAACGTGGCTTGGTGTTCCTTGACCTTCTCGATGATTTTCCCCTACCGCCTAGCTTCTAGTCTAACTTACTAAGAGAACTAAAACCCGGTGACGCCAGAGAATAATCTCCCTCCTCCAAGCCTTCGCTTTCCGCCTTTGAGTGAAACACCAACCATAATCTTCCCTTCAACAACGCCCTTTTTTCCCTGCTCGGCTTCCCATTCGATTCCGTGCAGCAACCAACCCCCCCCCCAACCAATGTCCTCCCCATGTCAAGGCCACCATCTGCGTCTGAGAACACCTTGCCTGACACCCTGGTGACACCTGCTGCGTCTGCCCAACATGATTGCTCTGCACGGCCTGAGCTCTCTTCCGGCAAGCATCGTCGCCACAACGCTCGCGACCAGCAGCTCATGTATCAGGATGTCCAGCAAGCTCCTTCTCCATCCCGCGCTGAATCCCCCACTGCTCATCAATGGTCTAAACCTGCATCTGGCTTTACCCTAAAAAGGGCATTGACTCTTCCCCTGGAGAGGCTCTCCCGTCCCGATCGGTCTCAGAGTCCCCAGCTTTCCGAGAGGGATTCCATCTTCGCAACCCACTATCTTCCCTCGGACAACGAAACCAGTAACACACCGCAACTGGATCCCGTACAAGATGTTGATAATGGCTTGACGTCCGATTTGTCTCCGGGACTCGATAATGCGCCCGCTTCTCCAATTTCCTCTGCCAAGATTCCCTTCCGTCGCCCTTCCTTCGATCGCTCCCCCATGGAAGTCGAAGTTCGCAGATCTCACCCGTTGCGCTCCTCTACCTCCATTTCGCCATCTCTCCCCGTCCATCCCTCGTCACTACGACCCGTTTCCTCAGATGTAGCTTGGGACGCACCTCATAAGGAACCGGACAGAAGACTGAACGCTCCTGTCCGGGAGAGTTTGCATCTCCCCGGAAAATGTTTCTCGGATGGTATTGGCACTAAACACACCCCTTTGGAGGATTCCGTTCCCAATCTCAGCCTGATATCTGCCTCTTTGAGAGACTCGTCCTCGCCGTCCCGTCACCCTGAATATCCGGAACAAATCCGGGACCAGAATTGCGAGACTAGAGCTGAGCGGAGTGCGAGTCGGTCCCGACGCGGCAGGGTTGAGAACTCCATTGAGGCCAATCTGACCAACGCGGAGCCTACCTCTCACGTACGTAGTCGGAAGTCTAGTCATTACCTCGGTTTGTTCAAGGAGAATACGACCTCGCCTGACCGCAAAAGAAGGGAGGATAGAGACGGGAAGCACGAGGAGCCTTCGACGCAGGATGAATCGTCGGACGTCACCGTCTTTTCCGAGCCTGAGCAGATCCGGGATCGTTTCCACGCTCAAGCAGGAGACTTGCTGTCAGAGGACGTTGGTCCTCGAACTTCCAAGAGCTCACCTCAGCTCTCGCTTTCCGCCGCTCCATCGATAGGGCCAACCGCATG